TCTAGGGTTCCAGTACCAGGAAGAGAATTCCCTACAACCTCTGCCTGTGAAAAAAAGCAAAGATTGTGGCAGAGTGAGATGGAGAGCTGAGGAAGTCACAGACATTTCTCTTAAGGGGCCCACATGGGAACTAATTTGCTAACAGACTCACTCATTCTGAACTCTGGAGCAGCAGCTTGAAAGGCATCAGGGACATATGGGAAGAAACAGAGCTGTATGGCTTCAGAGCGAGGGCTAGAGGGGCACCTTTCTCCCAGACAGAAGGGCTGGAAGATGGTATTATTTCTTTGTTGAGCCCAACCCCTCCCAGCATGCAGACCCAGGTGCCCCCACATCTGAGCTTCCATCATCTGGGTTAACACAGCTCATCCTGCCCTGGTGATTCCCTGAGACACTGCCCCACCCAAGCTGCTTCCAGTGGATTTTCCATACGAACAACCCACCTTGGCTCATGCTGAGGACTTTCCTAAAATCTCTCAAAGGTTCACAAAACCTAAACAAGCAGCATCTGGCCTTGGTGTGCCCCATACCTCTTGCTGAGCAGCCCCAAACCCAGAAGTAGTAGCAGCTGGCCTTGGTTTGTGGCTTGGCTTCTCAAGGCACATCCAAATCTAGACATAGGTGGCAGCCATCTGCGAATTGCTTGGTGGCTCATGCCAGGTGGGGCACAGGCTGCAGCTTAACTTGGCCTGCAGCAGGGACCCTCCCAGGAGGCCCCAGCTTGCATGTCCAGTGCTCAGTTTCGGTCTGAGCTGGAGCATCACCCAGGGGTAATCACATCTGAGGATGATACAGCCAAAGGCAAGCACCAGAGCCCTGCTAAAGTAAATTATGCTCTGTAGTGTCAGCCCCTGCACAACAGCTCCTCCACTGGTAACAGCAAGTCATCACAACCAATCAGCCTGAGGGTCAACCCTCCCACTGACATGTAAACAGCAACCAAGGCTCAGCTACAACAGGAGGGCACACAATCCATCAAGGGACTTACCTGGAGCACCCAGCTCAGGTGACCAGGGAAGACTGTGCCACTGGGACCCACAGGACAACTACTACATAAGGCCACTCTACTAAGGCTGGAAGACAGAGCAGCCCTACCTAATACAAGGAAACAAACACAAGTAGGCAGTCACAATGGGAAGACAAAGAAACGCCCCCAAATGAAAGGATGGAACAAAGTTCCAGAAAAAGAACTAAACAAAATGTAGACAAGCAATCTACCAGATGCAGAGTTCAAGACACTGGTTATAAGGATGCTTGATGAACTTAGAGAAAGAGTAGATAAACTTAGAACTTTAACAAAGAGATAGAAAACATAAAAGTGGAGATAAAAAGCATAAAAAAGTAATCAGTCAGAAATAAATACAATAATTGAAATGAAGAATGCACTAGGAGGAAACAACAGTAGATTAAATGAAGGGACTGAATCAGTGATTTAGAAGATAAAGTAGAACATACCCAATAAGAACAGCAATAAGAAAAAAAATACAAAAAAAAAATAATAATAATTTAAGGGGTCCCTGGGACAACAGTGAACATATCAACATTCACATCATAAAGGTACCAGAAGGAGAAGAGAGCAAGAAATTGAAAACTTATTTCAAGAAATAATGACTGAAAACTCCGCTAGCCTGGTGAAGGGAATAGATATACAAATCCAGGGAGTGCGGAGAGTCCTAAATAAGATGAACCCAGAGAAGCCAACACTAAGACACGCCATAATTAAAATGCCAAAGATTAAAGACAAAGAAACAATCTTAAAAGCAGCAAGAGAAAAGCAGTTAGTTACCTACAAAGGAGCTCCCGTGAGACTGTCGGCTGATTTATCAACAGAACCTTGCAAGACAGAAGGGATTGGCAGGAAATATTCAAAACAATGAAAAGCAAGGACCTACAACCAAGATCATTCTACCCAGCAAAGGTAACGTTTAGAATTGAACTGACAAATAAAGAGCTTCCCAGACCAGGAAAAGCTAAAGGAGTCCAGCATCACCAAGCCAGTACTACAGGAAATGTTAGAGGGACTTCTCTAAAAAGAAAAAGTGAAAAAGATAAAAATATAAATAATAAAATGGCAGTAACTACATATCTAGCAACAATTAATTTAAATGTAAATGGATTAAATGCTCCAATTACACATAAAGTGGCTGAATGGATAAGAAAATACGACCCTCACATATGCTGCTTACAAGAGACACTTCAGACTGAAAGACACACACAGACTGAAAGTAAAGGGATGAAGAAAGATGTTGCATGAAATGGAAACAAACAAAAAGCTGGGGTAGCAATATTTATACCAGACAAAATAGACTTTAAAACAAAGGCTACAACAAGAGACAAAGAACCCAGTTATCCCACTTCTGAGTATTTATCTGAAGAAACCCAAAACACTATTTCGAAGGGACATGTTAATCTATATGTTCACTGCAGCATTATTTACCATAGCCAAGATATGAAGGCAACCTGGGTGTCCATCAATGAATGAATGGATAAAGAAGAGGGGTGTGTGTGTGTGTGTGTGTGTGTGTGTGTGTACACATATACATACATACACACATATACATACATACACACACACAATGGAATATTACTCAGCCGTAAAAAGAATGAAATCTTGCCATCTGCAAAAATAGATGGACCTAGAGGGTATTGTGCTGAGTGGAGTAAGCTCATAACACAGAGAAAGGCAAATGTCACATGTGGGATCTGGAGAACAGGATAAACAAACAACAGAAACAAGCTCATAAATACAGAGAACATCTCAATGGCTGTCAGATTAGGGATGGCTCACTCACAGTTAAGTACCTAGAGGAGGGCAGGAGGCATGGTATGAAGGAAAAAGCCCAGCAGTTGGAACTCATGTTTGCATTGATTCCTACTCAAAATTTGTCAATTTTAACATTGATATCACGTAACTTCTTTGACCCTAAGCCTCTGCATAAGCAGAATGGGGGCCATCAGTCTTTCTAGCTTGAGCAACATGGGAAAAGATGAGATAATGTGTGAGCACTGGCAGAATGGTCTCTAACAGACATTCAATAGATGTTTAATGAATCTCAAAGTTATGTGAGCTCTATCCTAGAGGAGAACAAGTAGACTCCTCGGCAGACAGAGCAAGAAAAGCAATGGGAACAGTCCCTTCCCAGGAATGAGAGCTGCCATGAACAATATAAATAATCCCATACTTAAGCTCAGAGACATTCAAATTGCTTTAATGTTATATGTTACAGACACAAACTCCAGTATTCATCCTGCCCACCCCGCCCCCCGCCCCCAACACGCACACACAATTACATCTTTCTAACCTTCAGGCTCCACAATGACACATACCATGAAATTCCCAGATTAAACACACGTGAAAAAGCAGCTACAGGTCCTCCTCCAGGATTGTAAGTAGGTGTATGAAGGACTTACCAGGTACCGTTCTAAGTACTTTATGTGCACGTGCATCTTGTTTACTCAGCACAACAGCCCAATGCAGTGAGCACTCTAGTTACCCCTACTCCACAAAGGAGGGCCTGGGTGTGGAGATCACAGAGCTGTTCAGTAGCAGAGCTGAGGTCTGGTCCCAGAGCTACATTCTCAGCCACTCTGCTGTACTGCATCCCTGAGAAAAATTATTGTGGAAGTCTCATAGTTCCAAACATATGCCGGGATTTTAAACTTGACACAATTCTGATCCACTGGTATCAGAACAATATTAAAGTCTAAAAATAACACCTTAACATCATCATGTAGACCTACAAAGCTTTTACTGTAATCATCAAAATACATCATCAAAAACCCATGATAGAGAGATTACTATTTTATAGATACTAGGACTCAAAAATCACAAAAGACAGAATTAGAATTTGCTGACATCAGAACCAAAACTTTTCAGCTTCCTCTCAGCCAAAGAAAAATTGAAAAATGAAGTCCACATTCCAAATACATCCTGAATTGATAGAAAACTTGGCAGTATGTGTCAAAATTTCAAACATACACACCCTGTGACCTACGAATCCCACTTCCAGGATCTCTCCTACAGAAATACGAATATAAAGAAACAAAGATATTTATGCAAGGATGTTTACTAAAGCAGTGTTTGCAAGAGCAAAACTAAAAACCTGAATATCCATCTAGTCAACTATAATTTGGCACAAACACGTGACAGAACCATGAAGCTGGTTAAAAGAATGAGGTAGCTCTAGACATTCTACTACGTAAGGTAGCTTGGATATACTAGTAAGCAAAAAAGGAAGTGACAGCATATGTGCAGTATAATCTTATGTTTATTTAAAAATAAACTCTGTGTGTGTGTGGGCAGAGGAGATATAGAGTTATAGAAACAGGTTTGGAAGAATACATAAACTTCCTCGGGAAGAAGCAATTGGGCTGGGGGGCAGGGACAGGCATCATCCTTCATGTTTTTCTTTGTAGAAGTCTATATTTGCTTGAAGTTAATTACTTTAACTTCAGTATAAATTTCTGAAATAAGAAGAATCTTGGAGACTAATTTTCTAGAGAAAAAAGAATATTTTTAAATGACCTTAAAATAAAATGTAAACTTTTCTCCCATTTACAAGCCTGTTAGTGCATAGAAAGGGTAGCACTGCTTCTTTTAAAAGCTCTTGCAGGATGCTAAACTAAGTCATTCACTTCAGAGATTTTTAAGCTAGAAATGCCTCTAACGGCATGAATGTCAAAATGAAGGTTTTTATAATTATAGATCTTAAAAAAACATGTAAAATAAAGATTTAGACAAAGTAAGACTAAAAGCTGCATAGTTTTGCTATACTTTATTCAAAATTGGTCCTACTTCCTAATTATGAAAACGAAAAGTTTAGTGTCCAAATGTAAATACTCTCATCACATGTTGAAAAGTAATCTTCAAATATGTGCTCTGACCCAAATGGTCACACCCCAGTATGTGACAAAACCCTGGAAGTAACATAGCAAGTTAACTACGATACCACTTTTTAAACTCTCGAGCTGTAATCTTCTGAAGTTACACACACCACAACTCGTCTTTGCACAGGTAATTTTATTCTCTCCTGTGGGTGTCAACAGTGCTCATAGATTGTAATTTGAAACATTCAGAAAAGACATACCTGAATATTGTCACATTTCTTTACATCACGATTCAGTAACTATTAAACAGTTATGTCTACTAAATACAGTGACCAAAATGGTATAAATGTTTACACCATTCCCTTGTAAACAAGGCTTTTGTGCACAATAGTAACAAAAAGAATTATGCATACCACAATATCGATGAGGAAAGACCTCTTTAAATAAACTATTGTTTATAAATAGACTCTGATTTTTTTAGTACACATTTACAGACCTGATCAATAAAAAGAAATAAGACACAGATTTTCCTTTAAAAACAAAAAGTTTAGAAATGGACCACAATGGGAGAATTCACCTAGGAAAAGGGGTCAGAAGCAAGCAAAGGATAATAGAGAATTAAAAGTACTGTCATACTGTAGCCTATTTGTTAGCATATACCAACACAAGGACAGGATTGTCTGGGAGGAGCTCATTTTTACTTGAATTCCAGCAAGTTGCAATCAATCTTGTAGTATTCAGAAAAGACATACCTGAATATTGTCACATTTCTTTACATCACGATTCAGTAACTATTAAACAGTTATGTCTACTAAATACAGTGACCAAAATGGTATAAATGTTTACACCATTCCCTTGTAAACAAGGCTTTTGTGCACAATAGTAACAAAAAGAATTATGCATACCACAATATCGATGAGGAAAGACCTCTTTAAATAAACTATTGTTTATAAATAGACTCTGATTTTTTTAGTACACATTTACAGACCTGATCAATAAAAAGAAATAAGACACAGATTTTCCTTTAAAAACAAAAAGTTTAGAAATGGACCACAATGGGAGAATTCACCTAGGAAAAGGGGTCAGAAGCAAGCAAAGGATAATAGAGAATTAAAAGTACTGTCATACTGTAGCCTATTTGTTAGCATATACCAACACAAGGACAGGATTGTCTGGGAGGAGCTCATTTTTACTTGAATTCCAGCAAGTTGCAATCAATCTTGTAGTACACATACGGGTAGTATTCCTGTTGACTCAGGTTTAAGCCTGGAATATCCATAGGTGCCTATGAAAAATCAGACAAATTACTCAATTATGTAGATACAGAAAGCAAACAAAGAAGTAAAGTATTGCCATTTCCCTTCTACTAAACACCCACTCTTCACTAAGTTTAAGCATTTATGCTAATTTCACTTGAGTTAGGCATTATCATCTCCATTCTGCAAATGAGGCAACAATCTCAGAAAGGCTGACTTGCCCTCAGAAACACAGACAGCGAGGAGGAAGGCCAGCTTCAAGCATGCTCCGACTCTGAAGCCTGTGTTTAACAATGGCCCTATGATCCTTTCCTATGTACGCTGCAAGAAATTATTTTTTAATCTCAGGCGTGAGGTATTGAGTTTATGGGATATAAGACTGATAAAATGTTGGATTAAAATAAACCAAGTGTAGTTTTAAAGATATGTATTATGTATGCATGTGAGAAGAATTTACTGGTAGGAAATTATGTATCAAATATTTAGACCTCATATTTTATCGACAATTCCATGAAAGTGCAGAAAGTCATTTCTTTTATTTAAAAAAAAAAACACCCTGATTTGTCATGAGTTCTAACTAATGTACATTTGAGATACTACCAACCTAATGAGGAAAAAAATCAAGATATTTGAAATCAAAAATATAAAAGACCACTACAATTGTAAACAGCTAAAAGAAAAAACTACATGCACTTTGTTTATATTTTCTGTTTAAAAGATATAAACACATACCGTATTTTAGAAAAATAGCCTGTTTGCCCTGAGAATACTCACTGGTGGTGCCTGTGGATGCGGCATCTACCCTGAGATAACCCGCGAATTACAGTCCTATCTTTATCCCCAAAGTTTGCCACAAAATATCTCACTTTTATTTCTGTTTTCTCATAGTATATCAATAGTCTTTAGAAAAAAATGACATCATTCTATTTACAGCATTTTGTTGTTAGCAGTAGTATTTCCATTTATAAAATATACTAATTCTCGATCGCTGAAAACAAATCCTAGAAAACGTAGCATTCCTACACGTGATGTTAACATTGGTCTCGAACAGTTGTTAGCTGAAGATTCATTTGATGAATCTGATTTATGTATACATTTCTGTTACATTAGGATTAGAGACAAGTTCTGTTTAGAAATAACTCCAAGAACAGTTTTTTAATTTTATTTTTACACCGAAAACCAGTCAGGTCTGCTTCAGCCTCAAAGAGTGTGTTTATGTAAAATTAAGTTAACGCTGGCAGCGAGCTGCCCTTTTTTTTCCTAAACAGAAAATGGGTTAAAAATGCTCATCTATTAACTCTATTATTTCTTTTAAAAAAAAATTAAAATAACTACTTTTCTTCTTCTCTGAAATTTATGATTTTTGTAAACAACTAGTTATCACTGGTTGATCCTGCATTTCTGCAACTATAAACATCTGATCTCTAGCAAGATGACTGGTTTCTAGAAATCCCATAAAGCAAAGCACACTTCTAACTAGTGTAAGACAGGGTAAACAGATAAATTACTTGTTATGTTCATCTAACAAATTGAGAATCTCAAAATTAAAGAGATTGGTATCACGATATTCACTATCCTTTTTCTGTCTTTCCTTTTACAATAATTTTTTCTGAAATTCAGGTGTTTCTTTTCTACAAGGCTCTCTAATAAATACTTACATCAATAATAGCAGCTGCACTGCTGTCTAGATGTTTATACAATTCATATAATACTTCTCTCAGTTTCTTCATTGTTTTCTTATTGGGCTGAAGTAGCATTGCTTGGAAGTTCACTGGTAAGCCATACCTTATAAGGAAGCAAAAATATAGTATGTAACACAAGCAAACGCATAAAGACACTTTCTTTTTAAAGCAAACATTTTCATACTCTTCTTTAATCATAGCTAATGGGAAGATGGTATCTCATTTTAACGACCACCTTTACGAGTTCAGCTAATATACATAGAAACTCAAACCTTCTCTGATCCTCACTGTCCACAAGGTATTTTTCTTTAAAATGAGAGCCGACTGTCTATTAGGAATTACTTTAATTTTTAAGGTAATCTATGAATACCCTCAGTAAATAGTCATAGTATGTAAACTTAATGAATGCTTTCAAGATAAACACCACGAGATTACCCACATCTACTTTGAAATTCAAAGTAATGTAAAAATAGTAAGCATAGCTGCATGAGTATTTTTAACAATTTCTAATATTAGCAACATGTACAGAGGGTCATAAGATAATTTAGATTTTAAGTATGCCAAAATAATAAATATTTTAGATTAAATGAAAAAATGGTTTCAAATAAGTCGTTAGTATACTGTGTACCAAACTACATATAAATATTTGAAAGATCTTTTCTTTTAAACATAAGCTAATATTTTATGATCTACTTTTAACTTAAATAAGTACATAAGACAATAATCAGGGAGTAGAGCAGCATGAATCTCTTTTCCTCAACCTGGTGTTAAGGGACACAACTAGTACACATGTAATAAGCTGTATGATACTGACGATCTTTTCCTCACAACTGGCCCTTTGGTTTCTACAAGTCAATCTTCTATTACTGGACTGTGTGCTATAATAAAGAGGTCGAATATAAAGGGATCTATGAATTCTTCAGATCCAAGTTTTTCGATTAACTTTACCTTAAAACAGACTCAACAAAAACCCTTAATGCTTTCACATGAATCCATGCAATAAATGCTTCGCTGAAATTCACTTTCAGCCACCGCACAAGTGGTCCCTATAAAAGGAAAAAAAAAAGCATCTTAAGTTTGCTCTTGAAAATGGCAATTAAGAAGTAGATAAACCAACTAGCCTTACTGAACATTACTTGGTTAGGGTTAGTTTCCTCTCAACTAAGATAATACAGTTTATAAAGTACTTAGAAATAATTTCAAATGGAATTTGCCTTTACTTCCTCTCTTGCATTACAAAAGAAACACCTTTTCACTCATCATGTCTCCCCTTCCATACAAGCTTTTGGTCTTCACAATAATCCTACATTTGAAGATGGCAAGAAAGTTTACCCCAATTCCATCCCTGCTTCGCATTCTGCCTAAAACGTAACAATCCCCCAATGGTTTAAACGACAAATTACTTCAGTAAAAGATGGCGGCATTAAAAAAAATTTGCCTCAAGAAAAGGAAAATTCTTACTGAAAGGAGAAAAATATTGCTTAAATAATCCCTCTCTACAGGGCACTAAACAAAACTTGTATTTAAAATTAATTTCTGATAAGGAATTAGTTGTTGGAATAATTATTTTAAGGTATGCATTTTAAGATAACTATTCACGAAGCTAAGCTTGTTTAGAGAAAGTTCATTCTGATTATTTAATAGAAAAAAATAATTAAAATCAAATGCCTTAGAAGCAAAATCAGAGACGTTTTGCTTTCTTTTAAGTCAAAGAAAAGCAATACCAGTTTTTCTTCTCCTTTAACACTGAGAATACTAAATATTAAGAACACATACAAATTGCTTTTTCTTGTCAGTAGAAAGCCTGTTCATTTCTTCTTTATCTGCTTTCATCTCCTCTTCATTATACTGGAAGTCACGAACGATAAATCTAAATTTGGGGGGAAAAATCCAAAATAGTCTACACCATGTATAAGTGATCTAACAAATTTAAAACAAACAAACAAACAAAAAATAAACTTACTTGTTTTCCCTGGCTTTGTGTCTGAAGTCATCAACTGCCTTCCTAAACAAGGTGACATTACAAAGGTAACTATCTTGGTCTTCTGAGAGAACACTGGAAAAAAAGACAAAGTCCACTTAAAGCTTTGTGTTTATTTGCTCACTTTCATGTTGAAGGACGAATTCAGAAACAGCAGAGAAGGAGGAGGTGGAACAGGAGGGTATGGCAGCCCTTCCCAAACCATCTCAGTGCTATTCAGCTGCATTGCCTCAAACACTGAAGACACTGAGTGCTTTGATGTTTTTGTTTAGGATGCCTTAACAACCCTATAGTACATTTACTCTTTCTAATCAACAATATGAAACACTGACTCAAGCAACTAAACTCTAAGAACCATGCTTTTCAATCTATGCCAGTGCCAGGCTGATCCAGGCAAAACTGTCCAGCAGTTGGTTTGTTTCCAGAGACGCCTTGCTTCCTTGCTAAGCATCTTCTTCTCTTCTAGGAACCTAATTCTCTATTCCTCTCTCCAACACCCCGAGGCTGGGCCTATCCTCACTGCACTTCCGCTGTCTCCTACTCAGATCCTTCTTTTTCTCCTATCATACCCTCGATCAAAAACTGACTGATGCAACTATCTAAAAAACCTCTGAAAAAACACACTTCTACCTAGTCACAGCTCTCACGGACATCACTGGAAAGACCCGCCATCTGCTCTGCTCCCTAATCAACCTACCTGTTTCGTGCTCAAGACATCTTCCCTGCTTTTCTTCATAAAAGTGATCTTTGCAACCTCTGTTGCGAAACACAAGAGAAATTTTCCTCTGCACAACGGCTAGTGTGGTTTTTTTCTAGGCTCTCGTAGGTAGGCTCCTGGGCCTCATGTGGACTTAGTTCCCTGAACGAAAACCTCTCTGAAGCATGAATGAGTGTGTGGTACTGTTTCCAACAACAGAGAAGGGTGGGAGCTAAGCAGTGGTCTGACCCAATCAGACTACCTTAACAAATGCAAGGAGGCAGGCAAAAAGGAGTGGTAATTCTGCAAGTCCCAGTGAGTAGCACCTCTTTCTGAACAGTTTTTCCAACAAAAAGAAACAGGACAGCAGCCCAGCCTCCACTTCTTTGGCCGTTACACTGACATGGCATTTATACACATCCCTGCAGGTAACCACACAGTAATGGCAGGATTTTAAACTATCCAATCTTCTAAGACTTAGGTAGAAGTCTTGTATTTTCCAAATAGCTAGGTTTCGTGTATGTTTTTAAATGCGACTGTTTCTTTCAGGTTTAAAGATGGTATTTTCCAATCTCTTCTTCTACCTTGGAATTCCACTTTCATCTTCACTCCTCCCAAGAGTAGTCACTCAAGTATTGTGCCAAAAAGCAATAAGTCAAAGTATTACTACTTACAAATGACTTAAAAATAAAGCACGTAGAATCATGACTACCACTTAGTAATTACTCAAAAATGTTAGTTATTATAACCAAAAAACCCAGCATCAAGTCATAGAGACCTTTCCTAAACAGTGGACAAAATTCCAGACTAACCCACGAAAGTCTGTCTGCCCCACGTGACGTGACTGTCCTCTTCGTAGTGCTGGTTGAGTGACCGCTCTGTTCTTGACAACTACATTTAAACAGGAGGTTTTCAAGTCAGTGATTCCAAATGTCTTTTGAACTGAGAAAAAGGTAGAACAGACGTTTGTACTGAGTGAGAAAAGGCTGGGAATGCTTAGGTCAATGGCATTCGGAAGACATGTACTTCCTGTACTAAACTGTTACTGCCCGATACTTTTTCCTTGAAATTAAGAAATGATTTTCAAAAATAGTAAATCTCTTTTAAAGTCTTCCTTTCAGACTAAATCGGGCCTCCTTGACTCGCCTACATACCACTCCCCCGGAACTCAGGCTTGACATATGTACCACCTGGGAGGCCACGCTCTGTGTACAGGGTCCTTACTCTCCCCATTCCCCTGCCCCCTCGACGTACAGTCAACCTCTATGGCTCTAATGTCCTACGGAGCAGAAAGGTGTAAGGGGTGTTATCTGTCAGGATAAAGAGTTTCAGTGGAAAACTGCTATCAAAAGACACGTTAGTCTTCAGTTTACCAGGTGAAGGGCTAGTGTGAATGGAAGGTATTCTCCTGCCCACCACTCCCCACCAAAAAAAAAAAAAAATTCATGATGAGCATAGGTCTGCGGTTTAGGTCTCAAAAACTCAAGATCTGTGAAGCTACAGTAATAATCATGTTACCTTATATTTTGTAAATCGTATGAGGCCTTAAAGTAACCTCATAACATGTACAGGGAAGGTGCCACACTCACTTTACAGACAAAGAAAATGAGGCCCAGAGAAGTTAAAAGACTTACCACAGGTCACACAGCAAGTTGGTAGCAGAACCAGCAATAGAACTCAGATCCCTGGGTCCAGGACTCTTTCCATTATACTAAGCTACCTCCCATATGACACAATGAAACTGGAAAAGAAAATATTTCATGGGCCTGGCCTTACTAACACCGAACACTTCCTTACTATCTCCTATACTTTTCTTTCATCACGCTGCTACCTCTTGAGGTATATACATACAAAAGAATCCCTTGGGCCACATATACATTGCATTTAATAGTTTTTCAAAGAACGTTTTGCATGGAATAGCAGAATATAAGAGAAAATGACATAGTATAGAGTCAAAGAGTACAGGGCTGGAGTTAAAAAACCTGAGTTCTAGTCCTAACTCTGCCGCTGGACACTTCTATAGCCAGGTATCTTACGCAACTATTCAAGTCTTTTGTATTTTGACCTTTTCATCTACAAGAATAACTGCCCAAACTACTTCACAGAATTGTTATGAATATCAAATTAGACAATGTATGTTATTCCATAAATTAGAAAGTGTTTAATAAAAGAGTTTTTTTTAAGGAGAGTATAGATTAGATAGAATCTGTGCTCACTGGAAAGTGATGGTGAGTATTTAGATAGCAATACAGTATTGTAGTAGCCATTTTGGTATACTTCCTTTGCAAGGTAAATGAGGAATTACAGACACATCATAGGTATATAAAAATATTAACTAAAGAATTCTCAGAAGGTATCACAGTGTAGCAGAAAAAGTGCCGCCAGAGACCTCAGTTCTAGTTCTAGCCCTGCCACTAATTAGATGTGTGACTCTGGGCAAACCACTTCACCTCTGTGGCCTCAAACTTCTACATCTATAAACATGAGTGGGTCAATCAGACTATGCAAAGTCCCCTCTAGGTCTAAAATTATGATGGCTAAAGTTAATATAACTCATTTATAAGGTGAAAAGGATGGTTCTAAAACTGTAAATTTACCACAAAGGAAAGACAGCAAAGATATTTCCTAATCCAACATCCAAACTATAAAAGGAATTCTAAGAAAGAAACAGTTTTACAAAGACTACTACTTACTTGCTAGACCTTGGAACTACCATTTCAGCTAGTGTTTCATACTGCTTAATCCAGTCGTTGTGGTTTAACCTGTAGAAAATGTACAATAAGCACTGGCAAAGAAAAACAAGTCCTACCTTCTGTCATATCCAGAGAGAGAAAAAATGATGGGACGAACAAGAAATATGGCTACAGTAAATATACCTCAAATCTAACAACAAAAAACCCCTCAAGTTTCCTATTGAGAATGAATTTCAAATACACTGAGTGAAACAGGAACTACAGTTCACCACCCTCGTAGATGCAGTAACTATTGCAAAAGAGGCACATCCTAGGACTAAGTTTGGAAAGGAAGCAAGGCAAAGTATAGATTCTAAATTACTTTCAAATTTTAAGGTTGATGTGTGTGTGTGTGTGTGTGTGTGTGTGTGTGTATGTAACTTCATTTAAAAAATAAAAAAGAACATCAAAGGCCATGCCAAAATCGCTATCATTTCTTTTCAGCAGCCATTATGAAAGGCTGGATGAAACTATATATTTACTAAAAGCACAGAGTACCAGGAAGTATTGAGTAAATAAAGTGACCTTAAACTATGTTGCCATAGAACATTGTGCAACAACCTTCCCTAAAGAACACTGGCTTTTGGGGTGGGGAAAGAGACAATAATGTTTGTAATTTAAAATAAAGAACTGTAGTATCTGTAGGCCAGGATAGAGATTAATTAATTATGTAAGGTATTCTAAGTCCTATGTTTCAATTACTGTGTATAGAAAACTATGAAAACTTCTAGTTTTAAACACAAGCTTTAAATAAAGGTTAAATGAGACAAATTTTTTATCTGGGCAAACGTTATTTTCCCATACATTATAAAAACACAGATACACAGGAATTTATTATAAAAAAATCAGTGTTCTAGTATAACAGGAATGAGTTATATAACTAAAACACAAAATACAATTCTAGGAGCAGCCAAATCCTTATTTTTAAGCCCTTCTCCATTGGCAAAGAATAATCCATTCTGCAGTAAGAGGAAAAAAAAAGCAGAAGTCACGTAATATTGTAGCTACCATAAATTCGATGGAGGTACTTTCCCACCCCTTTCCAGGAAGCATCATTTCCCAATATTCTCGGTTTCCTAACCAGATAAAAATGGAGGGCACAGCAAAGGGAGATATTATGCAGTGATGCTCTGAAGCATCCCCAAATCTCCCATCTTGCTCTGGATCCTCCTTAGAATCCCTGAAAACATTAACAGTGTTACACACACACACGCACACGTACGCGCGCACACACACACACACACACACCCCACCCCTCTTCTAATCTTCCAACTATCCAAAGGTTTTATTTTACCAAGATTAACTATGATCAAATGTTAATTAACACAAAAGGACTAATCAAAGGAGATTTTAAAGGGTTATCTAATCCAGCAAACTATGCCCACAGCCCATGCCTGTTTCGTAAAGTATTACTGAAACACAGCCCTATCCATTTGTATACACATTGTGTGTATACACATTGTATGGCTGCTTTCAGTCACAACCACAAAGCTGACATGGCAGAGTTAAGAAGTTATAGCAGAGACCATATGGCTTGCAAAGTCTAAGATATTTACTCTCTGGCCCTTTACAGAAAAAATATTCTAAGTCTTGATCTACTCTAACCTTCGCTTCTTATAGGGTTTAATTCATCTTAACCAATCATAAAGACTTTTCGAAAACACAAATACAAAGAGCTTCCGTTTTTGAAAAAATTTTTAAAACAAAATAATTTAGCATTACATAATTTTTTAATGAGCCAACTCTAAGCTGCTAAATTTGATTTGGAATCTCAATTTATAATTGATATCTCAAGTTGTGAACTATATTCTACTGTATATGCCACATGAGCACATGTTGGTTGACAAAATGAATGACAAATGATATTCCCTTTACGCTTAGGTTTTAATGGAAAAATACAAATTACAATCAGCTACTAACATTTTCTTATATTTTAACAAGCAAAAATCTTTGAAATAAAAGGACATACTTGGGAACTACGACCAGTAATGTGACGAGATACTCTGAATCGAGAACAAAGTCATCCTTCTTCACGATTTCTGCTAGACTTCGAGTTAGCAAACTTCCTCTGAGGAAGAAGAAAAAAATCATTAGGCTGATAACTATGTGCTTCCATAACACATATAAATAGCAAGTTAATTATATTTACATATACTATATAAGTATCTCAAAAGAGGGACTAGTCTAGTTAACATTTTTACTTTATAAGTCATCAAAATTTAGCTGAATATTTCCCACCCCTGCAACAAAAGAAATGTCGACATTTATCAAAATTTGCCCCTAGTGTCCTTCTTTGTGTTTGATTTAATTAATGTAACTCAGCTCTTTTCTTGATTACAGATCTTGACTGAGAAAGTGTTATTTATTAGATATCAATTAAAGTCTATTTCATCATAATTATGAAATTATATCATCTAAGCACAACCTCTAGTTTTCTTCCCTCTCCCTGGGTATCATTTGATACCAGGCAATTTTGGTTAGTTAACCCAATAATCAAAGCTTTCAAATCAGTCTTCATTTAGTCTCCCACTACTGATCTTTTCATAATGAAAATGTCTTGCCTTATTTGCACCACGGATAGTATCCAAGCAACTGTACCTCTAGGATATAAATGCTTAACTTCAACAAGTTAAAGCTATACTTGTAGTAGCCATGTTATGAGGCAATCAACCAAAACAAATGTGTTCGATTTTAAGAAAATCTAGTGTAAAAAAATCTAAACTTGGGAAACAGATGAAGAATGAGTACTACATTATAAAAAGATTTGTCTATAGAATTCTTTTAAGCAGTACATTACACAATTTATGCTTTGATTTAAAATAATTAATTTCAGACAATTTTTCAGTGAAACATCAAATGGTAAGGGATCAAATGGCTGAGCTCGTAAGTATTCACAAGTATTATTTATGGAACAAGTATAATAAATAATAATAATAAATCAGCCTCACATCTGTTTTGACTAGCCTGAATTATTAAACTTTTCTCCATGAAGCAAAAAAAATACCATTTTGATCACAGAAAGAGATGGAACTTACTAAACCCCAACAGCATCTCCTTCAGTGTATGCTAGAGCGCTTCCCTAATTCTTAATATTCACAAATAATTGATATGCTTACGCATTCTTTCGTTCCAAGTTCTGAAGATTCCCTTTCAGGTTATTATATGCGGATGCTCGAGATTTCAGGTCATTGTCAATCTGAGTCACTCCCTTAAAAAAAAAAAAAAGGGCAAAATTTTCCTAATCTGTCTCTACTAGTACAATGAAAGTAACTGTAAACATTAACTTTAAAAAACTACTAATTCCTGATATAAAAATATTCCACTTTAAAAGCACAACTTTAAAGAGTTGTTTTAAAAAATAACCATGGTAATTTACATATGTCTCTTTCTATAAAGATACTGTTTTAATCCACATATATTTTAATTATTTACTGTATTAGTTCTTAAACCAAGTAAATGGGATCTAGGCCACTGGGTTTAGAGATTACCAATTAAAAGGCTTTAATTCACGAGGCTGAAGGACTAATTCCCAAAAGGAACCAAATTACATAGAGTTCTGTTGTCCACGAACGACTCCACTGTTATTATACAAAATATTTTCTCAATCTAATTTGAATTGTAGCTGAATTTATATATGTTACAAAAGTTGATTTTTCAAAAAGATGACTAAAACTACTAGCAATTCAGGAGAAAATGCAAAGTCGTAGATTTAACATCTAAACACGCCGAGTCTGGTCCTTAGATCACTTGGCCATGGCCATCCTGACACCCAGATTTAACATCTGAAAAACTTGTTTCAACTCAGCTCTACTATTATTAGCTGTGTGGTACTGGGGTAAGCCACTTCACCTCTCTGAGCCTGTTTCATCGTCTATTATAGTATCAGGAAGAAGATGACTAAATCCTTGATAAGGATCAAAATAAGGTTCAGAGTAAGAGCATCATTTTCTATTATCAGACTATTCATTTTCAATAAATTATATGATGATTTTAGTCAAAATCCTTAATGGTCTATTCAGTTACATTTAACTATAGAGCACACTGTACAAATAGTCATTGGAAGTCAAGGAAAGTCTGTCAAAATAATTTAAACCATAACTTTTCACCCTAGCCAGGTTGTAAAAATGTTGACAAACAATAGGTTGTTGTCTATTTGCCTCTTTATAATTTCAGGTAAGACTTTTACATTTTCCCTCCAGCTCGAGGGCTTTGTCATAAAAAAGGAGCTTTTAAGTCAGTAAGTTCGCAGATGGGCTTCAGAATCTATGTGCTCCCTGAAACTATACATAAAATCATGCGATTCATGAATATGAGCAGTTTTCTGGGTAGAAGATCAATGTCAGAAGGCGTGAGAGAACCCACAAAGTTTAATGTCTGCATCAGTACTGTGCATAAACATACTTAAGTGTCCACCGTCATCTATGTGGCTCATAAATCTTTAATAGACTCTAATTTCCTGTTCTCCATGATCTCAGTTACTCTGAAAATTTGTATAATTACAGAATTTAAAAATTTCTTATTTAAACATTGTTGATGCAAAATTTAACTACATAAATTAAATAAGGAAACTACACAATTTGAATAATCTACACATGAAAATGTTATACTTACCATTTTTTTTAGTAAAGCTATAGATAGAGTAAGGGTACCTTATTTTTATCAATCATATAATTAAGCTGCCTTGTCAAAACCTAGAAAGTATTTCTGAGCTAAATACTTATAAAATAAATAAAGCCACTATAAATCAATGTATCCTACCTGTGTCATTTTTTATCTTACCTTGGCAATTATTTCAGAAATATTTTTCAGGGACTGCTTGATTGGATATTTAGCCATGTCCCACTGAAATCGTGTTATATAAGTAACCAAGTCAACTGAAACAAAGGAATAAATTAATTACTGAGAAGCAAGAGAATTTTTTGTAGCTTACTACACAGTAATAAATTGCATGCTGAAATTGCATTGACAAAATCAGTAAAGATATCATTATTTCCAAAGAGTCCTGATTAAATAAATGTGAGACTACATTAAGAAACATGGATTAATCAAAATTTTTACCTTGTAATCAGATTGGATCTTATCTTTATTCGAAATTTAATATATATTAAAATGCTCTAATTTGATGACTTATTTAAATAAAACATGTACATACCCATGATATGCCTCATATGTAGGAGAAAGAAACACAAAGATTAAGAAACTTCAAATTGTCTCCTCCATCAGTAGAATTTGACAAATGTATGTTCTTTCTTTGCCAGCTTTACCCAAACAAACTGAAAACGAACTTATCTGTTAAAACCGCAAGGTGAGTGTTTCTAGGGGGTCTATATTTCAACAATCTTCAAAACACAAACCCTTTCACTTTCAAATGGAAATTTTTAAAACTGTAGAGACAAAGAGACTCAACAGTTATTTCCCTGAAAGTTTAGTAATCAAAGTGACTTGATATGATGGGACCAAGAGCATGGAACCCAATGTCAAGTATGGCTAACTGGCAAAAGTAATTAATATCAAAATATCTTTTTCTCAACTTCTCCCTACATAATACCAACAAGTCAACAACACAGCTGGTATTTCCAAAAGCAATTTTAAATGTACTGTCCTCTAGATTGTCAAGCCCCATTCCATCTATTAGATTAGTTCGTCAAATACCGTGAAGAACAGAAAAGGCACGCTAAATAAACATATCTACCTTCTGTCTCAAACACAAATTAAAAGAAACGGTAAACAATTAGATCAGGAGCACTATTATAAGCAAGAGCAAGATAAATTACTGTTTTTACTGATTAGGTATTTATTGAACATGTATTGTTTGCAAGAAGAAATGAGATTAGAGAAACACTTGATTTAAAATAGTTACTTCTGAGAGTTTAACCAAACTACTTACTCCATACTACTGCCTCAGCATGCATTTCGTGTGGTCTAGAAATTACACTAGCCCCTCCCCTCAATCACATCCCGCAGAGTAAATATAAGTTCCTGATATAACTGCCCCTGATATGACCCTTGTGAAAGGACTCTGCCCCACTGCCCAAGGCCTTCCCCTGTGCACCCTTTATATAAGAAGCTACCAAAACCCCACTCTTGGTGGTTTGACCAATCCAGACATAGCCTGGGAACCCCAAAGCACTCCAACCACAAACCCTAATAAAGGCCTGTGCCCTAGGTCCTGCCACTCTCTGCCTATACCCTGCCTCCAGGACCTGTGAGTAATCAACCTCTGTATTTCACTCCTCCCTGAGGTCTTTTGTTGAACAGTGACTGCCATCCTATGACACTCCCACCTCATGACACCCCGGGGCTCTACTTAACCAACGTTAATTTAACAAAGTCACAACAATCCCTTCTCAGCTTTTGGCCAAGATTAAGTGTAACAAAATCACAACAGTGACCTTATCATAATAGGCAATACAGGAAAGGGTTATTTTGTATTATAATGACATATCACTAATGACAGGCCTAATTTAAAATGAGGCAAACACTGAAGTAATATTTAAGAAAACAACAAATGGAAGTACAAACCACAGCAATGACGTCAAAGCCATCTTTAAAAAGCCTTTATAACACAGAGCAAACGATGTAAATATTAGTTTCTAGCTACAGAGAAGTTAGTAGTAGACTATTCTATAGGTACTAAGATAAAAAAATGTCACATTCAAATTTGAGGGGAGGAGGCATTACTCTTCAATAAAATAAATAATTTTTACTCTAAGGCTTTAGCAGTTGGACGATATTAAATTTTAAAAAATCTAGAGAAGACAGTAAGTATTCACCTGGAACAATGCTAAGACATATAACTTGGAAAAACATTTATAAATGTGAGTTAAAAAATAGATCCCAGAATGACCTAAGATAAATCTTTATAACATTGCTTTTGGAAGAAACTGACGTCCATATCATAAGCTATATTATATGTAAGATTGTCTTACATGAGATTGTGTTTCAGGGGACAGGATGTCACTAGCAGTATCACCAAATTCAGTTAACAATAATCATATTTTAGTGGCCTTCTTTTGTATTTAATATCCTTATTTATAGATATTTTCTTTTTACATTGTTATCTGTTTTTATAGCTAAGTCATTCATTTTATATAATCTTTCAAATCATGAAAGATTAGCTTACCTCCACTGGCCAACAGATTCTCCTGAACTTTATCTTTACTATCCTCCAATACATCAGCCATATATTGAGCCACCTTCTTAACGACCCTTGGGGAAAAAAAAAAAACAACCAGTAATCATTTTCAGGAAAAAGACCTAAATTCCATGCTATACAATGAACATATTACACAAAGATATGAATTTGACAATATATGTTTTCATTATACTTATCTATATAATATAGAACAAATGGACCCTAACTTCTATAAATAATGTTTTCAATATAAAATGGACCCAAATTTTGTTTTATGCAAAATTAAATAACTAGAGTTTTAAAGAGACTACATGAAATATGTTTATTTGTCTGGAAAAAACGATGAGAAACTAGTGAGAAACGGTCTGTAAATAGCCATATTTTATAAGGTGAAAAACTGGGCAATAGATCTGTCTGCAAAAACCAAGAACAAAGGAGGCAGGGAGCTAGCATTCACTGACTATATGCCTTCGCTTAGGATGAAAGGGATCCAGGAGGCAAGAGAATACAAGCAACAGCAATGATAAAGAATGAGGTCCTACATCATCTATTCATTAACTATTTATTAAACATTTACCCTTTGCAAGGAGGACTCCTATACAGGAAACCAAAGTGCCAAAACTACTGAGGCACCTAGATGTCACCTTGTCAATCCCATCATTTTACAAGTAAAGACACCAAGGTATAAAAAGAGTAAGTCTAGTTACGAAAGCCACAGAGTCACAAAACTAGTTAGTGGCATATCTGTGACCGGAAACATGGTGTCTTGACTCTGGAGTCTGGTGTTTCCCCCCCATTCCATGTGTGCCTCTGGGTGGGATTCAAAAGTATATAAAACAAAACCACTAGCTTCGCATTGTTTTAAGTTGAATTGGAAAGCTACCAAAAAATACAAATGGCTAAATATAGAGCAATCTGTGGAAAGTGCCAGCTTAGATTACCAGGTTACCTGCAGAGGAGCATGAAGGAAAAAGGGATCACGTCTAGCTACTGTAATTAAGAAAGCATAATGGCTCCTGAGCAGGGCAATGAAGGATAGGAATGGTTTTGAGAGAATGACTAGACAGGAAGAAAGTATATTCTTATTACAGGGTATGATGAGTCAAGATCAGGAGAGGTAGAAAAGCAATAAGCAGTCAGAGAATGAGGGGTCCATACTGCCCAGAGTGTCATGCTGAAGAGAAGGGGACATCAGGCTAGGAAGGCAGGCTGGGGCCGGACTGCAGGTAGACAGCCCCTGGTGTCAGACTTTAGAGAGAAGTACGTTACGTCAAAACAGGGCTTCAGACACTTACTCTGATGATTGTTTGCTCAATGGCAGGGAAGGTAAACTGGAAGGTGAATTAAGAAGCTCTTGCAACATGAACTAGTAAGGACCAGAAAAAGCAAAAGAAGGGCTAAATTTGAATGATAATCCTATCCTGAATGATCTCAAACCTAAGAAAGTAGAACACTTTCACAAAATAAGTGAGCCATAAGTCTTCAACAGGTTTAATTTGGGATTTGTACATACACTTGGCTGTGTCTCCAAAATTCACCTATTCCTTCAAAGGAGACAAACCATTATTCCTATATAACTTGACGAAGATCTTGTAAACAGAGCCATTTGCTATGAACATTAAAAAATGTGCATATGTTTGCCACAGAAATAGTTCAGAGTGTAGAACTGCCTGGTGTCAAACCTATAAACTTAACACTGACTCAGAACTTCGTGATCTCCCTATGCATCTCTACAAGCCTATCCATGTCAAAGTACACATGGTCATCACCTTTAAAAAGAATCTTTGGGGGAAGGGGAAGGTGGATAGGGTAAAAGGGGTAAAATATGTGGTGACATTAAAGAATTAACAAATAAAATAAATTTTTTTTTAAAATCTGCTCTACTGGTTAGATTACTGAAAAAGAATAAACTATAATTTATTCTACATAGCACAATGTTCAGACTCTAAAACCTGGAACAGTTAAGTCACTAAGCTACCATCTGTCAATTCTAACAAGGTCTAACAACCACATGATTTTTAAATTCTTCATAGCTTTCAGGAAGAGTAATGAAGACAAGATTGCATAACAGTGCAGAAAAGAACAGCTGACAAACTGCACAGGTAACTTTCAGTTCTACTAACTAAATGAACTACATTTGCCCTAAATACTTTTCAGATTCCTTCCCTAAAAAATGTGACCAAACCTTAAACTACATTCAGGACATTCCACTGATGATTCAAAGACAGACCTATAAAGCCGTCAAGGTAATTAATAAGGATCCAAATAAGTGTTAACAATTATGTTCACAGGAACCGCCCTTCTCCACGTGTCTGGTCATCATGACTTGAACACTGTAATGAGGTAGATGGGACAGTGGGGAGGACAACCACCTGAGGGATGGAACCCGCAAAGTTTCCTCAAACCCTTTTAATTAAAACCTCTACTCGAGAAATCAAGAGACAATTCTTACCACCAATTAGTCCTTTGAGAATATCATCAATAATTATTTGATGGATCCCATATCCATCTTCAGCTAAAATACACAGTAACTAATTTCAGGAGTGACTAAAACTGTAGTTCAGAAAAAATCTTCTAATACAAATGAATTTTAAAGACAAAAGCATCAAATAAATGGCATAACACCTCATGCTCACAGATCAAAGACTTATCGATATTATTAGGATGGCAATAATCTCCAAATTGATGTACAGATTCAACACAATCCCCGTCAAAATTCCAGCTGACTTCTTTGCAGAAATTGACACAATCCTAAAATTCATATGGAAATGAAACAAAATTTTCAAAAAAAATCTTGAAAACCAAGTCAGAAAATTCACATTCCTGATTAAAAACTTCCTACAAAGCTATAATAATCAAGACAGTGTGGGAATAGCATAAAAACAGAAATATAGAATAAAAAGAAATATGGAACAGAACTCAGAGTCCAGAAATGAACCCTCATATTTATGTTCAACTGATTTTTGGCAAGAGTGCCAAGACAATTCAATGGAGAAGGAATAGTCTTTTCAACAATTGGTGCTAGGACAATTGGATATCCACACGCAAAGGAGTAAAGCTGGGATTCCTACCTCACACCATATACAAAAATTAAGTCAATGGATCAAAAACCTAAATGTAAAAGCTAAACCTATAAAACTCTTAGGAGAAAATATAGACATAAAACTGGGTGACCCTGGATTAAGCAATGGTTTCTCAGATATGATATCAAAAATACAAGCAACAAAAATAGACAAACTGGACACCAAAATTAAAAAATTGTGCCTCAAAAGGCTCTTATCAAGAAAGTGAAGACAACTCACTGGATGGGAAAAATATTTACAAGTCATCTGATAATTATCTAAAATAGATAAAACTTAAAATTAAAAAGGCAAATTTAAAAATGGGCAAAGGATCCAAAATAGACATTTCTCTGAAGAAGAAACACAAAAGGCCAATAAACATGAAAAGATATTCAACACATTATTTGCCATCAAGAAAATACAAATCAAAAACACAGTAAAATACTATATATACACCAGGATGGCTATAATCAAAAAGATGGATGGTAACAAGTGTTGTCAAGAACGTAAAGAAATTAGAACTTTCATACACTCCTAGTGGAACTGTAAAATGGTGTAGCTGCTTTGGAAAACAGTCTGGCAGTTCTTCAAAATGTTAAAAACAGAATTACCTTGTGACCCAGCAATTCTGCTCCTAGGTACACACCCAAGAGAAATAAAAACATATGAACATACAAAAGCTTGTACACAAATATTCACACCGGCTTTATTCATATTAGCCAAAAAGTAGAAATAACCACCTAAATGTCCATCAACTGAGGAATGGATTAATAAAATGTGGTATAGCTACACAATGGAATATTATTTGGTAATAAAAAGAAATTAAATATTGGTACATGCTACAACACAGCTAAACCTTGTTAAGAAAAAGAAGCCAGTCACAAGAAACCACATATTGTATGATTGTAACAAAATGTCCAGAATAAGCAAAACTAGTGTCAGAAAGTAGATTAGTGAACAGTAGGGGACAGGGAGTGGCTGCTAATAGGAACAGGATGTTTACAGTGGGTGGGGGGTGATGAAAATATATTAAGATCAACTGTGGCAATGACTGTACAACACTGTGAATATACCAAAATTCTTTGAATTGTACATTTTAAATAGGTGAATTGCACAGTATGTAAATTATATCTCAATAAAAAGTGTATTTTCACACCTCAAACAGGTGTATTTTGTTGTATGTAAATTGTACCTTCGCAGCTCAGGAAAAAAAATGGCGTAGATGATAGAAGCTCTGTTCATCCCTCTGGCGACCAAATCAAAGTTGCAATGGAAACAACAAGCAGCAGCAAGGAAAAGTTGCCTGGAATGAACAAGCCATTCAACTAGGGAGAAATTCAAGAAATCATCCTGCAATGGCAGAAGGTAGGATGGGGCGAGGACGCAGGGCTGCCTGGTCTGGAGCAGCTACGACTGAGGCTGTGGCAGCAGCAGACACCTCTTAAAGGGGCCGCGACCACGAGTGGATTTTCGCAGTGATGGACCTGCTTGCTCTGAGCACCAGTGCCGATTTGGCTGCACGCAGTGGGCACCAGGGACTTACAGGGAGACATTGTCAGAGTGAGGGCTGAGGTGAGACTCACTCTGTACAGAAGTGCCGGCAGTATTCATTGTTCCCTGTTGAGACTGCCCCCTTCCCAGTGCGCTGGACACAGTGCGGCTGTAGCCATAAA